CACCCAACGGGGCTGAACGTCAGTGCGCGGGAGGGGGCACAGGACTGGAACCGCTGGACTGACTAGAGGGGGATCAGCGGAGGCTCCGTCACGGATAGCGTTTCTTTAGTGGGGAGGGAAACTTGGCGGCTCCTGGTTGCTGGGATGGAGCTGGAGGGACTCGAGCAACAAACAGGGTGCGCTTGAGGGTCTGAGAGGGAGTCGGAAGAGGGAGGGGAGAACACGCGGCGATGGGGTTGAATGGCCGACTTGGGGATCTGGAGGGTTTGAGTTGAGTTCGTCTCGGCGTTCGCAGGCCCAAGTGAAAGCAAGGCAGGAAAGCGAGGCAGCACGACAGTGAGAGTGTGAGCAAGGTGTCATGGATTTGCAGTTTACTTTGCAGGAAGTGAGGCAGCGAATGAAGTCCCCGTGGCAGTATCGAGAGACTTGTCACGGGGAGGGGAAGAGGGAATGGAGAACACGGCAGCCAGGCTGCTCGCAAAGAGGCACGCGTCTCGGTTGAGGGATGCGTTGCCTGAGGATGTTTTTGGAGGCTTCTGTGCTCCTCTCTCTCTCTCTCTCTCGGCCTTTGGAGTGGTTGAATGGGCTGAGTGGACCGTCTCGCCTTTTCTCTACTTGTTCAACCCATCTTACCTGTTCACCGACAGCCAAGACACGGGATTGGACAGCACATGAGATGCCCATGCTGTCTGGCCTCTTTGCCTGGTGGTTTCCCTGTGGCAATGGCCGGGGTCTCAATATTGGCGGAAATGCCTTGGAGCTTCGCCCTCATGACATCCGCCCGACGGCTCGCCCAGTAGCCAGGTGCCCTCTGACGCCGGCGACACCCAAAGTCCGAGGCTGAACATGGGATCTGCCTTTCAACGGCCATACGTGATGGCTTCTCGCCCTCAACCACTCCATTGTCGGCAAGGCACGTGTCCGAGGGTCGCTATGTCTTTAAGCCCCGGCACAGCATGATTCCAGGGCACGCGACAGTAGTTTGGTCAAAAGGAGAATAGGAATGATTCCTCAGATCCCATCTGCCTTCCCGCTCGACTCGACAAAGAAACCCGAGACTTGGCGTCCCCGGGGAACAAAGAAAGCAGGCAAAGGAAGAATGAAACCAAGAAGAAGAACGGGGAGGGGGGGAAACAAGCAACTGCCACCCCGTCGTTTTCCGCCCCATCGTGCGATGGACCCGGCTGCGGACGACGCGAGAACCATTCTGTCAGAGTCGACGGTCTCACGCGGCCAAGCACGCAAGGACCCATGGCGACAAGGACGACAACGGCGCGGCACTGACACCACGACGACGGCGACGACGAAGACGACGGGCCCTCGAGGCCAGTGTCCGCAAGAACCAGTGAGACTGACTATTGACGCTATCCAAGAACCCAACCACCACCGTCGTCATCCACGACCCCCGCACCCCCTGCCTTCGGGTTATGCAATCCTTTGTTCTAGCGCCCTTCTAGAAGCCGACTAACGGTCTTGGCTTGCCCAGACTGGTCATTCCAGCTGGAGGGGACGCCGGCGCAGGCGACACAGCCCCGCCAGGCTGTCTCTTCCTCCCTCTCTCTCTCTCTCTCCTTACGATCTGCACCTGTCATCCGGACACGACGAGAGGAGGAATCCTGTGGTGCCTGGCTCTGGTTCGTCGAGAGGGTCTTCTGACACCTGGCGCACCAGGCGACCGCGGATGGATCTGCAATGTTCCATTTCACCTTCCGCCCACGCCGGTTGGTCGTTGGAACCTGGCGCTTGTCGTCGACGGGGACGAGCTCGTCTGGCCCCCTTCACTCTAGGTCCACTAGTCGATCCATTTTCTTCTGGAAGGCTTCGTTGGGGCTGACGAGAGATGTTCCCCAGCAGCCAGACTTGGGTACCGGCAGCGGTGAATCGCCCTTTTCCAGATTGCCTTGGCATGAGGAATGCTTCGGATGATGAGATTGCGATGTGATTCGACAGCCGTTCGACGTCAACATCGCGTCCAGTCTGCGCCGTTGCTCTGATCCGGAGGAATCGGTGCTCTCCGCAACCCCAGGCACACACGTCCATCCTCACCGTCGCCCGAGGAGCGGGCTCAGTCCTGAGCCCTGCGCCCGCGCTAATGCGAAAAGAGGCGTCAGTCACAACCGCACGTAAACCAGACAGCCGTGACAACCGTGACAACAGCCAGCGTCGGACTAGTCGCCACACCTCAGACAGCGCCGCCGTCGTCGTTGCCCTCCATCGGTTCTTCATTGGCGCCTGGCCCGGCTTGCCCTGCACGACATTGGCGCCCCTCGGGCCCTTTGACGGTATGTCTTGGCAAAGGATACAAATGTCGGATTCCCTGCCTCCTTTTCGTGCCTGGGCCTGGCGTCATTCCCTTCTGCCAGTCGACTCCCAAACATCCGTTTTGTTGTTTCGTCGCATTGGCCTTGCATCGCGTCGAGTCTTTCTTTTACTACATAACAAACGGTCCTTCTCTCGCTCTGTGACACCTGACATATCGGTCATCGCTGTCTATTCGTCCACTCCCTTTCGAATCTGTACAGGCAACTATCAAGTCCATCGTCAGACATTCGGCGAGCACCCCCATGCCATCATAGGCACATCGCACATTGGTCTCGGCGCGACTGGACGCAAAGCATGTTCCCAAACCAAGAACCGTCGGCGATGTCGCCGGAAGACGTACGGATCCTCCGCGAGCTCGCCGGACGTTACGGGTCCGGGAGCTTGGAGAACACCCTCCGAAGCCTGGGCGGCAACCACACTCCTCTCCAGCCGCCGCCCCAACACCACCACCAACAGCAACTGCACATGAACGCGCCCGCGCGGAACTCGACGCTCTCCACGTCGACGTTCGGCAGCAACCACAGCGCGCCGTCCCTGACCAGCTCCGGCCCATGGAGCGGCTCCGACGCCTCCCTCTGCGGCTCTGACGCCGCCTCCCTGGCCGGCAGCCTCTACAGCGGCCAGCAGCCGCAGAACGCCTGGAGCGACCCCCACGACGTCCCTTTCCTCCTCTCGCCCTCGGTGACGCCCTCCCTCTCGAGCTCCGAGTGGCAGGACCGCCACATCAACGAGTACCTCACGTCCCCGTCCCGCGACAAGAAGGTCGCCGCCGTCAAGTCCCCGTGCCGCCGCAAGCCCATCGAGTGCCCGATGTGCGCCGTCTACGACGTCTACGTGGGGTTCGGCAGGAAGAGCGACTTCAAGAAGCACCTCCAAAACTTCCACAACACCGACTGCGTCTGGGTCTGCCCGCAGGGGGGGTGCCGCATGGTCTTCGACTTTGAAAAGGCCTACGTCACCCACTTCAAGATCGACCACGGCGACGCCCCCCCGCCGCCCGACCAGGTCAGGGTCGAGCTCTGCACGCAGGTCGTCTTCGCCTGCGGCTTCCTCGGGTGCAAAGAGGTCGTCGAGGCCTCCGACGACGGCGGCGCGGCCGCGGCCGTCGACGGGTTCTTCGACCACCTCGCCGGCCACTTCGACAAGCGCAGCGCCGCCTCGTCCGAGTGGACCTTTTACCACCAGATGCAGAACCTCCTGCGCCAGCGCGCCCTCAAGGACGAGTGGAAGCACACCCTCTGGGACAAGGCGGCGCGCAACCAGCTGCGCTGGCAGCCGCGCTCCTCGGGCGACCTCAAGAAGCTCCTCGAGTGCCGCCACCTCCCCGACGTCCCCAGGATCCTCCACGCCGCCTGGACGCTGGGCCAGACCTCCTTCTCGTCCCCCGAGCAGCCGGCCCCAGAGTTCCCCGGCGAGGCCACTCGGCCGCTCCGGCACCAGTGCCCGCTGTCCATCACCGGCCACAACGAGCTGCACCGCGGCTCCTTTGGCCAGCGGCAGCCCGTGTTCCACACCACGCTGGCCACCGTCTCGCACCCCCCGCCGCGCAGCGTCCCCGACGAGCCCGACTCCCTCGCCTACCCCCACCCCGGCACGCCCCTCGTCCTCCCCGAGCGCGACGCCTGGTCCACGGACGTCGTCCTCGGCCCCCGCGAGGGCGAGCTGTTCGAAGACCCCGCGCTGTACGCGGGCGGCGGCGGCTCCCCGAACCCCGTCAGCCCCTGGGCTGACGCCCATGCGCTGGGCCGCCTGGCGCAGCAGGCGCCGTCGCCGGTAGACGACCACGAGGCCTTTGGGGCGTTTCTCCAGGTCCCCCACCCCTCGAAGCGGCCTCGCTCGTGGGCGATGAAGAGCATCGAGAACCTCCGCCTCAAGCGCCTCGGCCGTCCGTCGCCCGCCGAGGACAAGGCGCCCGTCCACCCCGCGTGGATCTAGTTCCCCTTTCGCCTCGGCCGTCTGTCCATTCTCGGAAAACCATGACGCCGGTCTTTCATGGTTTCCCATTGTCCCTATACGATAACATTTGTTTCTCACCTGTATTATCTAATGTTTGCACGACACGACATGGCGGTGGCGCAGCTCATAGACACGTCCACGTTTGCCTCTTTTGGCCCTTTTCTTTCTTTCTTGTTCTCAACAAAAACAACAACCATAGACTACGAGATACCCGATGGGAGTTTGGGTGGCCGGGCGTGGCTGTGCATAAACGGCGCGGCTGGGGCTTTGTTCGAGGCCAGCCGTGGCTACACCGAACGGGGATCCGGCATGACCTACGACTTTGACGACTTGAGGAGGCGGAAATACCATATAGACACTAGAATTGGAGTTTGGCTTTTCTCTTTGACGATGCCTTGTCTGCTGGCTTGCCACTTCTTGACGCATGACCCGAGATCGCCGGTGGACTTTTGAAAAGGGGGGCTTGGCCTTTCTGATCCCAAGGTCTGCTACTCACGCAGAGGCGTTCATTGCCTTGCCCAAGTCGCTCACCTGTTCAAATACCGCCAAAGTTGCTGTGCTAGTGACGACGCCTCGTCCCCCGGCTGTGTCCAGGGAGGGCAAGACGTAGTCGCAGTCCACACCCACGGCATGGACCCAAAGACAGCCTCGCCTTGACAGTCCCAGAGATGAAATGGCAAAAGGTGAAAAAAAAGATGCTTGCGTCAATCGCTGACGGGAATTGAGCCCGACGTGGCTGTTGCATGTTAGACAATCTGTCGTGACCAACCTCCATGTCGGCGACGGTGAACTTACGGGTCGAACCCACAACCTTGAGATTAAGAGTCTCACGCTCTACCGATTGAGCTAGCCGGGCAACCGGCTTGGGAGTGTTGGGTGGAATGTCCTGGGACCGGGATGGCTCAAGGCCCTTCTTTCGGACCGTTCGGCCAGTCTCTTCTGTTCCTATTGTGTAAGTGAGGGACGAGAATTGGGGTGGTTTGTGGGTGGACAAAGTGGGCGTCTGGATTGTGCATCGTTGCGGGGCTCAAGGGCTTTCTGGTTCATCTTGTCCCGGTGTCAATCCGTGTGGGGAACCTACTCGAGGCAGTCCCGGACTGAAAAAACGCCATGCCAATGTTGGCTTGTACATGTCGCACCAAAACACATGCAGAAAGCAGCGTGCAGAAAGAACACAGGTAGTCTCTATTAGCCAACGCTGGCGCATCGCTTCGCCGTCGAAGCTGGCTGGAACGGCTTGCCCCCTCCGCTTGTGACGGCTATCTGGGCAAGAAAACCCAGGGGGGGCTCGATTACTCAGTTTCAAAGAAAGTTCCTACATCGACTCTCCCACAGAACCACGTCTCCCCCGTCGGGCTCAGGATCATCTCTTGGCCTGCTTCTCCCTCTCCGCGCCAATGTGCCCCGGATCCCTAGTGACCTTGTTGATGCGGCCCGTCTGCATGGCGCGAAACATTCCTCTAAAGAGTCTCTCGGATGTGCCGAGACTTTCAGTCGGAGACACAGACCTCGATCCCTCGCTAGATGGACGGTCCTACTGCCCCCTAGCCAAGAATGCCGCCGTGCCACTGCCGATGATGGGGCTTCCAATCTCGCCTGGGGCGCCCACCGCTCTGTAGTGAGGCTGTGCCATGTCGTTGAACTCGGGCACCCACCGAACCGAGTGCTTGCCGGGACCGTTTGCGTCCCGCCGAATTTCAAAGGTGCCCCGCCGTTGTGAGCGTTTCCTTCCGTTTCGGCGAGATCCAGTAGATCATCTTCCGAGATGGCCTCCGTCCTACTGAGTTGGTCCACCTCGGCCTTGATCGCCGCCAGGTCAACAAACGACTCGGAGTTGTCGGCATCGTGAGCTTGCAACTCCTTGCAGGCGCGGCACAGCATCAAGCGAACCGTGACCGAGCGAGGGTTTCCGCCAGTACGGATCTGACCCAGTGAGGGCATGGGCGGGATCATGGGGCTGCCCCAGGTGGGGTTGCCCAGCCCAGGAGGCGGAACGAAGCCCATCGGCGACGGCCCCCATACGTTGTTGTGCATGTTGTGGAATCCGTTGTCCATGCCTCCAACGAACGGGATGGTCGGAAACACCGGCCGCGGGACCTGGTTGCGGTGCCTGGCCGCGTTGATGGCGGCGTTGATCGGGTCCTCGGCATCGTCTAGCAGAGCGCTGCTGCCGAGATGCTGGTTCGCAAAATCGTCTGGCTGGTCGTTGCGCTGTCCATGCACCACACTGCCGGGCCGTCCGATGGGCGCTGGCCTTCCAATGGGCTGCGCCGGGGCCGGCGATGAAGCCGAATCGAAGCTCCCAGAGGCCTGCCTTGAGTGTGTCGCGGGTCCCGGTGCCATGTTGTGCATCGGGTCGCCCATGGGCTGTCCGAATCCAGGAGGCGGGTGTGGCATGAAGCCGCGTCCAGCGGGCCCATTTAGCCCGGGCGGGCCGGGCATCATGCCAGGAGGCGGTCTGCCGAACCCGGGGATACCGGGTGGACCAAAGATGGGATCATGCATGCGATTCGCGAGCCCCGGAGGTGGCACCCCGAAACCAGGCGGCGGCATGCTCATGGGCATACCGAACGGACCCGGTTGCATCGGCCCCTTGATACTGGATGGCGATACCGAATGAGGATGGGGTAGCGAGCTCGTGGTCGCCACGCTGGTCTTCCTAGATCCAATCGGCGCCGGGCTCGTGTGGCCGGGCGTTGCGGGGTGCGGCGACGGGTTTTGGCTGGCGGTGGAGCCAGACTGGGAAGCTAGAGATTCTGGCAGGCCGGTTTCCAGGGGCTGGGACGCATGCTTGGGGCGGATCGGTGTTGGGGCCTTGGGCAAAGCCGGCGTCGCAACGGGTATCTTTGGAGACGCGTATGATGCTGGGTTGGAGGGGTGCGTCGGAATCGGCACTGGGTGTTGCGATGGACGGCGGCCGGAGTTGGGAATGGGGATAGGGGCAGCGGCGATCGTAGCAGCCTTTTGCGCGGCCTTCTCCTCTTGCTTGATCCGCTCGTTGCTCTCCTTGTCAGCTTTGGCTTCCCGGTCGGCCTTGGCCTTGGCTTCCTTGTCGCGTTTGGCCTGGTCTTGCTTCTCTTTCCGCTCCCGCATCTCCTTTTCCTTCTGTTCTCGCGCCTCCCTCTCACGTAATCGAGCCTCCTCCTTGAGCTTCTGCGCTTTTTCCCTGGCTTCGCGTGCTTTGCGTTCCTGCTCTGCGCGCTTCTCTTGCTGTTCCTGGAGACGCCTTTGCCGCTCCGCCTCTTTGCGGAGGCGTTCTTCCTCCTCGAGACGCTTCTGCTCTTCCTTCTTTCGGCGCTTCTCCTCGGCTCGGAGTCGCTGCTCTTCGGCCCTCCTTCGCTGCTCCTCGAGTCGGGCAGCTTCTTCCGCCGCCTTTTCCGTCTCCTTCCGCGCCTTCTCCTCGGCCTGCTGCTGCTTCTTCAACGCGGCCTTGTCCTTGCGCTTCTGGTTCTCCTTGGCCTTCTTCGCTTTTCGCTGAGCGTCTTGCCGGTTCTCCTCCTCGAGCTCCTCGATGAGCTGTTGCTGGCGTTGCTTGGCGACCATGTCCCGATAGGCTGTCAGGACCCGTTGCTCGAACATGCGAGCGGCGAATATCTGGAACATGCGACGACCCTCTTCCATGCGCTGTTCCTCGGTCATCGTGTCCTGATGATGGCAACAGTAATGCTCAGTACTCGAGTGTTTATGGTCATATGTGTATTGAGAGGAGCTCACTTCTTCATCCTCGTATTCCTCTTCTTGGCTGTCATCATAGTCCTCATCCTCCTCCTCGTCTTCGTCGTCGTAGTCGTCTTCGGGAGGAGGATGGTTATGATTCGAGTAAGAGCCGTTGGCGGGATGACCGTAGCCGCGAGAAAAGTGCTCCTTGGCGTCCTCTTCCCGCGCCATGCGGCGCTCGGCGAGCTGCTCCATCATTTCGATGAAGCGCTTGCCGTCGTTCTTGAGGAGATCATCCGCAACGGTGAGTATGCCGCCTAAGTCCATGTTACCATATCTGCAGAGTAGAGAGTCCAGAAGCTGCATACCCTTGACTTGCAGGCTGTTACCAAACGTCAAGAAGTCGGCCACATCTCGATCGTGAGGGTGGGCATCCTCTGGCGGTTCGTCTTCTTCGCTGTACTCGTCGTCTTCTTCCTCTTCCTCCTCGTCCTCGAGCTCGTCCTCTTCGTCGCTGTACTCTTCTTCGGGGTCCTCCTCGTCGTCATCGTCGCCCACGTGTTCCACTATGCGACCGCGCGACGGCGGTTGTCCCGAGTAAGTTGACGGGAGGCGTGAAGGTCGCAGGGGGAATTCGCGGTGAGGCGGGAGGATGTGCGGACCCTCTCCGTTGTTCGCAAACGTCTCGAGCTCCTCGTAGTAGGCATCGTACAGCCCCTCCAGCTCCTCCTCGATGGCGGTGCGCTTCCGGCCGCAGACGGTGCAGCTGCACGTGTGCTTCTGCTGCTCCTTCATCTTCTTCAGAACGGCGTCCTTTTCGACCTTGACCAGCGACTTGCGCTCATCCTCGCCGAGCCCGAGCCAGAACTCCTTGATGCGCTCCCTCTCCTCCTGCGAGCTGGTGTTCCAGATCTTATCCTTGGAAATTCCAGGCCCACGGGGCGCCAATGGCGAGTGGGAATGCGGGACGTTGTCGAACTGGGGGTTGGCGAGGTGCGGGTTCTTTGCGTTCTTCTTCTTCTTCTTCTTGGACTTTTTGGACTTGGCCGAGGCGAGGCCGTTGGCACTGGGGTGGTCGTCGGCGGAGTGGTGGTCGTCGGCGTCGTCGTCACTGGAGTCCTGGTCGTCGTCATCTTGGGTAGGCTGAGGTGTGGAGGCGGGTGCGCCAGGTGCAGGACTTGAGCGTCCATTCGGCGTTTGACCGACGGCCTGCTCAGCGGCAGCCTTCGCGGCAGCCTTTGCGCGACGCTTCTGCTTCTTGCGATTGACAGTAGGCGCCGAGGGGTCGGCGCCGTTGGTGGCTGTCGTCTGCACACTCGGGGCCCTTGCCGACGAGGTCGGGGTCGATGGCTGCGAGGGTTCGGTGGAGGGGGGGCCTTTGGGGACGGTGATGATCTTGGAGCCATCTTTGTTCGTGTAGCGAGCCGTGGCCTTGGTGTTGGGAGACGCGGGCGTCTGTGATGCCGCCTGGCGGTGGTTGGCCGGCATGTCGAATCTCTGCTACCAAGCACCAAACGCCGATGTCATAGAGAGGAAGAGAAGGGCCGGTCTGCGAGGGGGCGGTTGAGAGGGAGAGCAGACGTCGAGGTCGGGGCTCGGCGGGCGGGCGGTCGGTCGGGACTCGCGATTGAAGAGATGCTAGGTAAAGCTATGTCGAGATGGGTGAGCAAAAACAAGATGTTGCCCCTCTTCGTGAGAAGTTGGTTGGGTTGGGCGGCAGGCGATTGTGGGTAAAAGGTAGCGGCTCGCGAAAATGGCAGGCGGGATCGGGTACAGCGCGCAGGGCGGGCTGAGGTGGTGGTGATGAGGCAGGACTCACAGGTGGAGGCGAATATTATTCGAGGCCGGGGCAGCCACACTCGCTCGCCAAGGGACAGCCAGCAGCAAGGCACTGTAGCGCACGGCAGGCGGGAGTCCAGCACAGCACAAGCAAGACAGCACAGCACAGCTCAGCGCGGCACGGCACAACACAGTACAGCACAGCACAGACAACACTGGCAATTATCAGCGTGGGCTCCTGTAAAGGTGCCTCGACGCAACGTCGAATTAATTGACGAGGCACTCTTGTGCGGATCGCGCAGCGGCAAGGCTAGGTTTTGACGACGACGGGCGACGGCGAGGTGCAACGAGAGTGCAGTCTGGCCAATATTGCGGACGGTGGGAAGTTGTCTGGCCTCTGGCTGGTCCAATTTCTTTTCA